ACTACACTATGGTGCCACTGGACCAATATATATTTAGTTATTTTTTCAAACTTGTTTTGTTTTTCTTGTTGTAATCTCATGACTTCCTATATTAACTGAGATCTTCAACATCTGCATCCACATTCAAAACCAAATAAAAAACCAAAATATTTCTCAGCCTTCTCATTGGCTACTCTGTGTGTGTAGGTGTGTTCCTGTGTGCTTAAGTTGGGTACATTTTGTGCACTGGAGGAGGGGAAGACATTATGTGTCTGTGGTTTACGTGTTTGGGGTGGATGTGGGTTCTGAGTAAACATTTTCACATGCATTTAGTGGAATCGAAAGCATGCTCAGATGACTTGAGGTAAAATTTGTTACATAAAAAAGACCAAATAAACCTCTTGTTTTAACTGTGTTTCTCAAACCTTTTCATCAAGTGTAAACCCACATCCAACCCTGCCAGATATTCTCCTTCATCAACACAACCAGGAATGTTTCAAATATATACGTTTTTGTAAAACCAATATTATTTAGCCGTCATTGACTAAGTGTGCATGAAATCTCTTTACAGACAGTTTCAAGTGTTTATAGTAGTTCATTTAAGTTGCAATGCACGCCATGCACACATAACCTTAGTCTCAAATTGTGGTCATAAATATTTTGTACATGTAAATCAAATGTTGAATTTGTGTACTGAGTTTTGTAACCTTGTAAACCAAAATTTCTGAAAGTTTTATGTTTATGTTTTATGTTTGTGCATCTACAGATGAGAATTTGTGTGTGTAAAAAAAGTTATGTGTTTGTAAAAAATATTTACACGAGTTACAATTTTTTTTGTTAAGGTCTGGTTGCAGATACAAAGCAAAAAACTATGTGTAAAACTCTGCACTCAGGTCCCCTAATCCTAAAGTAATAATGCTATTTCTAACCACTGATATACCAAAACTTTATCCTTTCAGCAGCTACTGAAAGTTAGTGGACCTAGCTTCTATGGGATATTTATATAGAGATTTATATAGAGATCTTCCAGCTTCAAACTGTATTACCCTTCCAGGACCTGAAGCTCCGTAGAGGACCCTTCCAACAGCCAAACCCATCTGTTCTCTGATTGGATTGTTAAATTTGTGATTGACATTACATTGACCAATCAGCTTAAAGGAAGAAAAATCGGGTCAAAATTTGTACTTGTAAGTTGAAATCCACGTGCAGTGAGGAAACCTGAGCGCAAAGTTATACACGTACTTTTTTGCTTTGTATTTGTAACGAGACCTTAACAAAAAAAAAATTAAAACTCGTGTAAATATTTTTTGCAAAAACAAATCTTTTTTACACACAGACAAGTTCCCATCTATAGATGCACAAACATAAAACTTTCAGATATCATGGTTTACAAGGTTACAAAACTCAGTACGCAAATATGCATTTGGCCAACAAGTACAAAATATTTATGACCACAATTTGAGCCCATACTACTTAGGTAGGTATACCATACAACCTGAATCTGAGCGCATGTGACTCCATCTATATCCAATTACAAGTTCTCTGTCTACATTGCTGATCACTTGCTGAGGCTCCAAAGGGGTCCTGTCTTCTTTGTCACTGGCCTTCAGAGGGTCCCCCGGCCAATGTCACTCCCCAGCCAAGCTACAGGGGTGTCCTGGCACCTCTGCCAACACAAGCCTCCATAGAATGTCCTCCAGACATGCTGACCTCAGTGTAGTGGTAACACTACACCAAAGGTGCGTAGTGTGTACAAACACACTACACACCTTTGGAGTGGAAATCGCAAGTTCAATTTCCAGCACAGTGTCCTGGCTAGACCTCCCATGCTAAAAATCAATCCTTGGAATGGCGTGACTATATCTGCAGCTGTGTATGATTGTCTAGGTGACACATAAAGCTTGGTTGTTGTTGTTGTTTTTCACAAGGCACCAGAGGATCTCCACCACTGATGTTGACCTCCAGCTACAGCTAAGTAAAGCTGAGCTGTCCCATGTCCTTCTAATTTGTCTTGCCTCCACTACTGGTTTCCTGGCCAAATTCCAAATGTTTTTATAAATGTTAAATTACATCA